CGGTACCTTACGTCCTTGTATAGACTATTGGGGATTGAACAAAATTACTATCAGAAATGCTTACCCTATTCCTTTAATTACTGAACTCTTTGACAGACTAAGGGGCTCGAGTATTTTTACCAAACTTGACTTAAGAGGAGCATATAACTTAGTGCGAATTAAACAAGGAGATGAATGGATGACAGCATTTAATACCCGTTACGGGCATTATGAGTATACCGTAATGCCGTTTGGGCTTTGTAACGCCCCGGCCGTCTTCCAAGACTTGATCAATGAAGTTCTTAGAGAATTCCAACATGAATGTATAATTGTATATTTGGATGATATACTAATCCATTCTAGAGACATTAATTCACATCATAGACAAGTCAGAAAGGTATTACAGAAACTTTTACAACATGGATTGTATTGTAAAGTGGAAAAATGTAGCTTTGACCAGTCTCAGGTAACTTTCTTAGGTTACGTAATTTCCAAAGACGGGTTTATGATGGACCCGACCAAACTAAAATCGATTTTAGATTGGCCTTTACCTAAGGGACTCAAAGCCATACAAAGATTTTTTGGATTTTCTAATTATTACAGACGTTTTATTAAAGGGTACTCCTCTGTTATCGCTCCTATCACTAATATGACCAAACAAGGAGCCGATACCAAAACCTGGTCTACTGAGGCTTTATCTGCTTTCGAATCGCTCAAACAGTCTTTTGCCTCAGCACCTGTATTAGTTCATCCTGATACCTCTCTACCCTTCTTACTTGAAGTTGATGCGTCTGAAACAGGGATAGGCGCAGTGTTGTCCCAAAGACAAAGTTTAGATAAGCCGCTGCACCCTTGCGGTTTTTTTTCCAAGAAACTATCACACACTGAAAGGAGATATGACATTGGTGATAGAGAACTTCTAGCTATCATTATGGCGTTAAAGGAATGGAGACATTTGTTAGAGGGCACCGTCCTCCCAGTTACTATCTTGACTGACCACAAAAATTTATCGTATATGGGGGAGGCCAAAAGATTATCTGCCAGGCAGGCACGTTGGTCTATGTTCCTTACACACTTTAATTATGTGCTTACTTACAGGCCTGGTTCTAAGAACACTAAGGCAGATGCTTTGTCACGTCAGCACGAACCTACCACCTCTACAGAGGATACTTTGTTCCCTATTATTCCTGGAGTCAATATTATCGCCAACACCAATGTCAAAATACACTCTCCATTGCTCGCTGATATTCAGAACGAACAATCTCTTGCTCCCGAGCGTACTCCTGTGGGCCGCTTGTTCGTGTCTCCCAAATTCCAAGTGGACATTATTCGCTGTTTCCACGATAGCAAGATCGCTGGTCACCCCGGCATCCACAAAACTTACTGCCTGATCTCAAAAGACTTCTGGTGGCCCGGTTTACGTAGGGATGTGGAAGACTTTGTCAAGGCTTGCAATGTTTGTGTCAGGAATAAACTTCCGCGGGATCTCCCTTGTGGTTTATTGCAGCCCTTAGTCGTTCCCAACAAACCTTGGGCTTGTTTGGCTATGGATTTTATTGTTGATCTACCAGCTTCCAATAGGCATACAGTTATCCTCCCGGTCCTTGACAGGTTTACTAAAATGGCTCATTTCGTTCCCTTGCCTAAACTTCCGTCCTCTCCCGAACTGGCCGTGATATTTGCTAGAGAAATTTTCCGTTTACATGGTATTCCCAATGAGATTGTGTCAGACAGGGGTTCCCAATTTATTTCCCGTTTTTGGAGATCCTTCTGTTCACAGTTGGGCATCAAACTGAATTTTTCTTCGGCCTATCATCCTCAATCTAACGGAGCAGCCGAACGCACTAACCAAAAAATTGAGCAATATCTACGTTGTTTTGTTTCTGAACACCAGGATGACTGGGTCGGTCTGATTCCTTGGGCGGAGTTTGCTCACAACAACCTTGTTTGTGGTTCCACTCGTAATAGCCCCTTTTTCTTGAACTATGGCTTTAACCCTACTGTTCTTCCTACTGTTCTTCCCAGGGTATACCGTCGGTTGATATTCATGTAGCCAACCTGAGAAAGTTGTGGGATCAGACTCGACAAATTCTTGAACGTAGTTCCGCGGTGTTTAAGTCACATGCTGATAGGCGTAGACGTCCTGCTCCTATTTTTTCTCCGGGGGATAGGATCTGGTTGTGTACCAGACACATTCACCTGAAAGTTCCGTCCTTGAAGTTTGCTCCTCGTTACATTGGTCCTTACAGGGTACTGAGGAGGATCAACCCGGTTTCTTATTTGCTGGATCTACCTCCTACTCTACGCATCCCTAACTCTTTTCATGTGTCGTTATTGAAACCTCTTGTTTGTAACAGATTTTCCTCCCGCTCTGCTCCTCCATCCTCGGTCCGTGTGGATGGTCAGGAGGAATATATCATCAAGTCCATCCTTGATTCTCGTATTTCTAGGGGGAAGCTGCAATACCTCATAGACTGGAAAGGTTATGGTCCGGAAGAGAGGTCTTGGGTTCCTGGTAATGACGTGCATGCTCCTCGTCTTCTTCGGGCCTTCCACGTTCGTTTTCCCTCTAAGCCCGGTCCCATCCGCCCGGTGGGCGTTTCTAGAAGGGGGGGTACTGTCAGGGTACCTGTTGGTGATGTATCCAGGGAGGACATCCTCTCTGCTTAGGGCCTCCCTGCCCCTAGCATTTCGGCATATTCCGGCCGTTTTCGCGCCGGCCGCGCTAGCTCCTCCCCCTTTTATGACGCGACGGCTAGCGTCGACGTCATGACGTCGGCATTTGCATAAAGTGCCGGGAACCGCTATTCCGGACCTTTTGGGGGCGTGGTCTCTATTTAGGTAACAGGGTATTTAAAGGAAACCTTTACTACTGCTCATTGCCCTGTCGTGGTTCTAGCTTGCTAGTCACTCAGCGCGTTCTTTATCTTGTGTTTCCGGTTTTGACCCTTGCTTGTCTTTTGTCCTGTTGTCCTCTCCTCTCCTTTGACTCGGCTTGTATCTCGCTTACCTGTCCTCCGGCTCCCTTGACCTCGGCTTACCTTTTGACTATTCTTGCTTTGTCCTTACGTTAGTCCGGCCATTCTAAGGTCCGGTATACGTACCTTATTCTGTGCGCACTCTGCGTATTGGATCCCTGTCACTTTCCTGACACATATTTGTTATTAGTTGTGTGGGTAACCGGTAAGATCATATTTGTTATTAGTCGTGTGGGTAACCGGTAAGATCATATTTGTTATTAGTCGTGTGGGTAACCGGTATGATCATATTTGTTATTAGTCATGTGGGTAACCGGTATGATCATATTTGTTATTAGTCATGTGGGTAACTGGTATGATCATATTTGTTATTAGTCGTGTGGGTAACCGGTAAGATCATATTTGTTACGACTAATAACAAATATGATCATACCGGTTACCCACTGGTAAGATCATATTTGTTATTAGTCGTGAAGGTAACCGGTATGATCATATTTGTTATTAGCCGTGTAGGTAACCGGTATGATCATATTTGTTATTAGTCATGTGGGTAACCGGTAAGATCATATTTGTTATTAGTCGTGTGGGTAACCGGTATGATCATATTTGTTATTAGTCATGTGGGTAACCGGTATGATCATATTTGTTATTAGTCATGTGGGTAACTGGTATGATCATATTGTTATTAGTCGTGTGGGTAACCGGTATGATCATATTTGTTACGACTAATAACAAATATGATCATACCGGTTACCCACTGGTAAGATCATATTTGTTATTAGTCGTGAAGGTAACCGGTATGATCATATTTGGCATTAGCCGTGTAGGTAACCGGTATGATCATATTTGTTATTAGCCGTGTAGGTAACCGGTATGATCATATTTGTTATTAGTCATGTGGGTAACCGGTATGATCATATTTTTTATTAGTCGTGTAGGTAACCGGTATGATCATATTTGGCATTAGCCGTGTAGGTAACCGGTATGATCATATTTGTTATTAGCCGTGTAGGTAACCGGTATGATCATATTTGTAATTAGTCATGTGGGTAACCGGTATGATCATATTTGTTATTACTCGTGTGGGTAACCGGTATGATCATATTTGGCATTAGTCGTATAGGTAACCGGTATGATCATATTTGTAATTAGTCATGTGGGTAACCGGTATGATCATATTTGTTTTTAGTTGTGTGGGTAACCGGTATGATCATATTTGTTATTAGTCGTGTGGGTAACCGGTATGATTATATTTGTTATTAGCCTTGTGGGTAACCGGTATGATCATATTTGTTATTAGTCGTGTGGGTAGCCGGTATGATCATATTGTTATTAGTTGTGTGGGTAACCGGTAAGATCATATTTGTTATTAGTCGTGTGGGTAACCGGTATGATCATATTTGTTATTAGTTGTGTGGGTAACCGGTAAGATCATATTTGTTATTAGCCTTGTAGGTAACCGGTAAGATCATATTTGTTATTAGTCGTGTGGGTAACCAGTATGATCATATTTGTTATTAGCCGTGTGGGTAACCGGTATGATCATATTTGTTATTAGTCGTGTGGGTAACCAGTATGATCATATTGTTATTAGTTGTGTGGGTAACCGGTAAGATCATATTTGTTATTAGTCGTGTGGGTAACCGGTATGATCATATTTGTTATTAGTCGTGTGGGTAGCCGGTATGATCATATTGTTATTAGTCGTGTGGGTAACCGGTATGATCATATTTGTTATTAGTCGTGTGGGTAACCGGTATGATCATATTTGTTATTAGTCGTGTGGGTAGCCGGTATGATCATATTGTTATTAGTTGTGTGGGTAACCGGTAAGATCATATTTGTTATTAGTCGTGTGGGTAGCCGGTATGATCATATTGTTATTAGTCATGTGGGTAACCGGTATGATCATATTTGTTATTAGTCGTGTGGGTAACCGGTATGATCATATTTGTTATTAGCCGTGTGGGTAACCGGTATGATCATATTTGTTATTAGCCGTGTAGGTAACCGGTATGATCATATTTGGCATTAGCCGTGTAGGTAACCGGTATGATCATATTTGTTATTAGCCGTGTGGGTAACCGGTATGATCATATTTGTTATTAGTCATGTGGGTAACCGGTATGATCATATTTGTTATTAGTCATGTGGGTAACTGGTATGATATTTGTTTTTAGTCATGTGGGTAATCGGTATGATATTTGTTTTTAGTCATGTGGGTAACCGGTATGATCATATTTGTTTTTAGTCATGTGGGTAACCGGTATGATCATATTTGTAATTAGTCATGTGGGTAACTGGTATGATCATATTTGTTATTACTCATGTGGGTAAACGGTATGATATTTGTTTTTAGTCATGTGGGTAACCGGTATGATCATATTTGTTTTTAGTCATGTGGGTAACCGGTATGATCATATTTGTTATTACTCATGTGGGTAAACGGTATGATATTTGTTTTTAGTCATGTGGGTAGCCGGTATGATCATATTTGTTATTAGTCGTGTGGGTAACCGGTACGATCATATTTGTTATTAGCCTTGTGGGTAACCCGTATGATCATATTTGTTATTAGCCTTGTAGGTAACCGGTAAGATCATATTTGTTTTTAGTCGTGTGGGTAACCGGTATGATCATATTTGGCATTAGCCGTGTAGGTAACCGGTATGATCATATTGTTATTAGTCGTGGGTAACCGGTATGATCATATTTGTTATTAGTCGTGTGTGTAACCGGTATGATCATATTTGTTTTTAGTCGTGTGGGTAACCGGTATGATCATATTTGGCAATAGCTGTGTGGGTGACCGGTATGATCATATTTGGCATTAGCCATGTGGGTAACCGGTATGATCATATTCGGCATTAGCTGTGTGGGTAACCTGTGTGATCATATTTGGCATTAGCCGTGTAG